AAAAAAAGATTAAAAAAAAGAAGAAAAAAAATCATATAGATACAGATTGATCCTATTTTCATCCTGTATTCGTCCTATGGCTTCTGCAACTTTAAAATGTTAGGGATATTCTCCACTATATTTGTTTCTGAGAAACAGCAATTTCTCCATATACTAATGAGGCTATTTCACATTACTTAAAATGAGAGAGACTGCCTAAACATGTATTCCCAAACACTTGATAGATCATTTACTCATATAGAAAATTAAATTAATATATAATCTAATAATATATTTTAAACTAAATTCTATATAATTGTGGAAAGAAACAAATGATCTGTGGATAACAGCATTTCCTGTGTAAGAAACCAACCAACAAGTACCAGCCAATTCACATAGCTATTTAAGCTTTATGGATGTACATTTTGGGGTGTCCTCAACTTGCTATTTTTTGTTAATATTGTTTAAATCACATATAAGACTTTAATCTTCTAATTCCTTCCCTGAGGATGGTTGATTGCAATTGTGTCTCTCCTATGACCCAGTATTTTATGTTCATCTTATTAGCCTCTGTACCTTCAGCATTATGGCCAAGGTTCTTCATATGACTGTTCAGGAAAGTGAGCATAACTGACAAAAGATCTTTAGTGATGTCCATTTGGCCAAAGTAGCTTAAATGGCAAATTGCAAGTCCTTGCATAAGGGTGCTCTGAGTATTTGGATACAAGGAAATGTGCCATTTCACAACCATTATTGAGACATTATAGCACTAGAAACATGCATTGCATATGTGCTTCCTGTATACCCTTTGTGAAAAATGCTGAGCTATACGATACATGATTTCCCTGGTGTGTGAATCTGGAAATGAATGAGGTGGAGTACAAATGCCCAGTGGAGTGCTATTATCCTTTTGCATTAAAAGAAAAAATAGTTCATGCATCCCTAAGTGTATTTCAGTAAACACTAGTTTTAATGAAATGTGGTATGTTTTCTTTTTAATTATTTTTGTGGGATGTTAGTTTTTTTAGTACTACATGTATATTAACCTAGAAATGAATTGCTTTCATACTATATATCTACTAATTAATCGACTATGGCTTCATCTTTATTGGAGTGTTTGATTAATGCACTACTTGAAACATAAACCATACTTGTTCTCCCATAAGAAGGCTTTATGCTTTTCCAGCCCATGGGTAATGTTTTAAGCAGGAAAATCTGGGGCAAAATCACACAGGTTCTTTCCTGACTACCTCATTTGCCTTGTCTCCCAGCCATGCTTCCAGAATCTTCTGTCCATTGTCAACAACAAGAAAGAATGAAAGGATCTCTGGTGAGTTGCTTTTGATTTCTCTGTTTTACATTCCTTTTTATGAACCTAATAGTGGACAAGATTGAAAAACAGATTCAACTTCAGGAACATGCTCCTGAATCAGATAAAGATGGCTTGTAGGTTTTGCACATTATTAATCTGACATTCTCGCTAAAATGAGTATAGATTACTTCAGTTTGTTTCTAGTTGTTCTGATGTTGGTAGAAGTAAGTAGTCAAACTTGTTAAGGGATTCACTGACACAGAGGAGGTGACTTCTCATGGAAGCAACTGGTCAGAGATCACATCCCCATGAATAACATTAAACTGTCCTAATGAAATTTTTACTGTACTTGCTGAAAACTGTGGTCACTTATACCTTCAGCTATTGAATAGTACTGAGTAAGATATGTGCACTTACATTACTAGTTCTCCAACTGCTTCATAGGCTTTTTCTACTTGAAACTTAGGCTATATTTCATCATATAGTCTATATCCTTTCTAGAAATCCCTCCATGTTTCTCAAAGAACTCCTGACTAGATTTTTTTTCTGAATTTTGTCTATTCATTTCGTGTTTCTTGCTCTCTAGCTTTCTTTCTCTCTTCTCTTTCATTTCATCTGTTTTTCTCTCTCTCTTTCTCATTGTTTCTCTCAGACCCTCCTCCCTCCATCTGTCTCTTGCTTTTTTCCTTGCTTCAAATGCTGTATCTGGGAGCTAGTATTTCCGTTTCTTTGTTTTTTTGTCCATTGTAGGACTTGAATTCTTGGACCTGGCTACTGTCTCTCACCTCTTCAGCTCAAGGCACTGAGTACTCTACCACTTGAGTCACAGTGCCTCGTTCAGTTTTGTGGTTGTTTATTAGAGCTATGGTCTAAGGACTTCTCTGTCCGAGCTGGCTTTGAAGCTTGATCCTCAGATCTCAGCTTCCTCAGTAGCTAGGATTCCAGGCATGAGTCACCAGTGCTCAACTAGAACTAGTTTTTCTTACAGATCACTTTTCCTTTATTGACATGACTCTTAAAATTAACATGTTTTTACCCATTATAAAGGAAACTTGTTGCTAAATGTAAGCCAAGGTACTTCTATGAAGAGTCCAGAGCTAAAGAAAATTAGAAAAACACAAAAACACAGACAGAGAGATAGGAGGAAGCAGGGGTCCTAAAGCTCACTGCTAGTTGTGCCCCAAATTCCTTCAACTAACCATCTTTATTTGGGTTCACACAAGCAAGGTTACCATGAGTACATCCACAAAAAAAAAGTTAAAAATCTCTATTAATATTACACTTTGAGACAAACAGTTTTTGAGAGACCTTTCCTGTGTTATTCTTTTGTGTATGTGTGTGTGAAAATACTGTACAGAGGGCTTACAATTACATGGGCAAAATAATGCGTACATTTTTTTATCAAGCATTATAGCCTCCTCCTTTGTTTCCCCTTCCCATCCCTTTCCATCCTCTCCCCACCCATGTTTACCACATTTTCTTGATTCATAATCTACTGAGGGGCATCTGGGTTGGTTCCATATCTTAGCTATGGTAAATAAGGCTGCACGAAACATAGTTCTGAGGGTAGTTTTATTGTGGTCTTGTTTGTGAACATTTGGGTAAATGCCCTAAAGTGGGATTGCTGGGTCATAGGGGAGCTCTATGTGGAGTTCTTTGAGGAACCTCCATACTGCTTTCCAAAGTGGTGGAACAAGTTTACAATCCCACCACCAATGCAGTAATGTTCCCTTCTGTCCCCATCCCCTCCAGCATCTGTTGTTATTAGAGTTCTTGATTTTAGCCATTCTAACTGGGGTGAGGTGGTATCTCAATGTTGTTTTGATTTGGATTTCTTTTCTGG